CAGACCCCACCATCTCACGATTGTTTGTGTGTGGAGTGACATCGGTGTGAGTCAGTCTATGTGAGTCAGTCCATTTATCAGACTTCCGCTGCATACATGCTCATCCTGTATTGGTTGATCTCTTGGTTCTGCCCATACTTGTTGAAGTACTCGTAAGTATGCAACAGTTTTGGTATCGGAGCAGACCAAATAATGGATCTGCTCACAAGGTAAGTCTGATTTAGGAATAGATTGCTTCTTCGATCTTCCAAATCAGCTCTGTATTACTATCGAGATTCAAAGTTGCAAATTTTTCTTTTTTTCTTTTTTCGGTATTCTGTTTAATTCGGCATTCCGTTTCTATTCGGTATTCTGACTTTCAATTCGGGATTCTGTTTTAAATCGGTATTCTGTTTAATTCGGTTTCCGATTAATTGGTATTCTGGTTAATCCGATATTCTGTTTTAAATCGGTATTCTGATTCTAATTCGTTATTCTGTTTAAATCAGTATTCTGTTTTAATTCGGCACTCTGATTTCAAAATTCGGTATTCCGTTTTTAAATTCGGCATTCTGTTTTAATCTGGTATTTCGGTTTTAAATCGGTATTTCCGTTTTATTTCGGTATTGGAAATTAGGGTTACGATAAATTTCGGTTTTTCGTTCAGATTGGGAAATTCGAATGTTTTGGAACCGTAAAACCGAAAATTCCGCAGAATCGTGGAAAATAAGGGTTGGACTCCGAAATTTTCGCGATTTTTTTTTTCTTTCCCTAGTCTGAGAAATATCAAATACGGACTCAAGCCTTTAAAAATCGGATTTTGTAGGTTGAAATTCCCAAAATTTTACGTTTTTCGAAAATTCGAGTGTTTTTCTTCCTGATTATCCGAATTTTTTTTTGGCAAACTGATCGGAATCGTTCCCTCAGAAACTGCAACTTCCGGGTAGCTCACTAATCAACGGTGAACTCCCGGACCATAGATGATCTCAACGGATACCTAATCTTTCCACAACTTAAAATTCATTAATGATCATTATTGCAATTATTGTTTATTGATTATTATTAAGAAGTATTAATTCGTTATTAATCTTTTTTTTTTTTTTTTTGATTTTTAATTCGTTATTATTTCTTACTACGAATTTTTCAAGTTGTTTTGGGGGAAGTTTATCTTTTTCTGTTTGATTAGGTGTCTAAGTCCATAGTCGGGACAGGGACTGTATGCGAATTGCTTGATCTGTTCTACCCCTGTGCCCACCCTCTCCCTCTTTCTGTTCTGCGATCATCCGGACCGGCCAGCCTTCAGCAGCAGTTTTCTGATGCCAACAGGGCAAGCTACCGAACAGCAGCCACAACGCAGCAAGAGGATCACAGATCGCCAACAGCAACAGCAACCTGCAGATCGACAGCAGCTACAGACCAGCACACAGATGGTGATCACGCCTAACAGCGGAACGTCGTCTGAGACTTCGACATCTAGTAATGTCGAACCCTTGCTGGTCTGTCCTGCTCAAGGGCCGAATGAGTCCATCGCGGACTACATTCAGAGAGTGAAGACCTATACGGACTCACTAACCCTTGCCAAGGAACGGCAAGATGCTGCCGAAGCAGAAAAACAGCGGTTGGCAGCAGAAGCTGCAGCCCAAGCCCAGCGTCAAGCTGAGGCGGAGCAGTTGGCGACCGACAAGCTCAACGCCGACAGTGCCGAGCTTCTGATCTCTCAACAAGATCAGTGGACAGCGGTACTCAACGGGATGCGTTATGTCCCCGTAGCAGGCGCCGAGCCGACGACAGTACAACAGGAGAGACAAAACCTGGCAGACATTCTATTGAACACAATGCGCGCAATCATCTGGAACAGCACCATGGGGGACCTTCATTCCAGGTCTACACAGCAGCTGCAGAACGATCTTAACCATAAGGTGAAGACGCTTGCAGCAGCCGTCAAGATCGTGAACTCCCAACTGAAACAGATGGACACCCGCATTGCTGCTCTGGAGGCAAGGCCTTCCCAAGCAGCGCCAGGCTGCACACCAGACACGGCGAAGCAACTCGGCGAGCGCATCGACCATGTCGTCACTATCATTGGCGAACTAGGTGCTTTCACTGGTCTGGACACGATCAGCAGCATGGTGGCCGCCATCAAGACGGACATCACCAAACTGCAGACAGGACCGGACGCCGCTTCAAAGAACTACAAGATGCCGCACTTCAACATCAGCAAGTTTGACGACTACAACAAGACGGACGCCTTGACATGGTGGCAAGGTTTCCTCACCGAAGCATCCTGCCGCGCTGTCCCGGCTGAAGACATGATGAAGGCGCTCTACCTCCAACTGATTGGAGGCGCACAGGCATGGATGAACCATCTCGCGGCCACCAAGAAATGCACCATCGCCGAACTCCACACGCACATTCAGTGAAAGGAGTTTGAGCAATTGTGGTTCACTCGGTTCATGGTCCGCAACGTTGTAAAGGCGGCCATGAACGAGGTCTACACCAGCTCACAAGGAAGCATGCCAACTCGATTCTGGACGATCAAGTGGCAGAAGATAGTGACCATGCCAGGCTTCGATTTGAGTTTTCCAAACCAACGATCCGAGTTCTTCTCGCGATCGTGCGCAGGACTGCGGTCGGCACTCGGCATTGAGTACGACTATTTCTCATTCCAGGCTATTCTGGATCGTGCGAACCTGGTCATTCAAACGGATGACAAGGCCGCTAACGAACGACACTCCCAGCCGCACTATGTGGCTACGCAGGGCTATCAACGACCGACACATAACAATTCCGTGATTTCTGATGCATCAGTCGATCTCCACGCTGCAGCAGCATCCTCGAGTGATGGAGGAACTGTCGCAGCGCTCTCGCCGAAGCGTCCCAAGAGAGTTCGAAAGAAACCAGCGACACAAGCAACGACAGCGACGGGAACTGGGCAGTAACCATGGACGGCATACAACACAACCAAGGAGGTATTTGACTTACGTCAACGGTACGGATATTGCCTATGGTGCAATAGTGTTACCCACGCTACCGCACAATGCCCGGACAAGGGCAAGGCACGTGTACTCCGTCCAGCTAACTCGGGAAACTGAGTTACGCAAGGAGAGGGGCTACGCCTCTCCTCACTCCGCCTGAACCTTTTGCCTTGCTAGCAACCGATATCACTACCGGGGAGCATGCGTTAGTCGCCGATTCTCATGCTACGTACGAGGATTATGCCGCCCAGCTGGTACCACCATTAGACCAGCCTAGCCACGTGCACTTAGATAGCGTATGCGCAGCCTGTACACCGTCGACAAGTGATCCGGTCAGCTCGCCACTGAATTTCGAGGACTCGACGGCGTGGTTAAGACTTGAGGAGCTTGACCCGCTCACGAGAGAGGACTTCGCTTGGATGCCTCTACCCTCAACCGGAACCTTGCCAAGGCCGCATCGCAACGCCTTGATGGCAAATCTACGCTCCTATTTGCACACTGCAATACAAGCTCCGATGACGGACGACGGAGTAGCGGTTGTTGATCTCCGCTCCTATCTTGCGAAGATTGACCGCGAGCATGCCACCCAAAGGTACGCCGAGACCGACGCACCTTTGCTCTATATCCGCATTCAAATCGGAAAGGCAACTTGCAGTGCCTTGATTGATTGCGGAGCATCTCGCAATTTCATGAGCCAAGCCTTTATGGCCCGCGCAGGCCTTGGCCCGCGCGTTCAAAGGAAGACGCAACCTACGCAAGTTACACTCGCGGACGGCGACGGCGTTCCGATATACTTTGCGCCACTTGCGTGCGAGCCAGTGTCTTTTGACATCCTCGACACCAAGTTCGACATGATTCTAGGCATGTCTTGGTTGCGTAGCGCCGATCACCCGGTGAACTTTCATGACCGAACCGTTCACATCCGTGATCGGAACAGAGTGTTAGTCCCATGTACGGTCGCAACCCCTCAGACTTCGATTGCTTATCACGTGGTTTCCGTTGCGAGAATTCGCGACGCCATAGCTCGGAATAACGTTGAGGAGATGGGCCTTGTATTCTTGCATGCTCTCCCCTCTCCGGACGGACCAGCCGCGTCACCCCCGGACCCACGCATTTCTCACCTCTTGGACGAGTATAGAGACGTCTTCGAGGCTCCCACCGGAACGGTTCCGGATCGGCCCATACGTCACGGGATCACTCTCGAGACTGGCGCCGTCCCTCCGCGTGGATGCATTTACCGCATGAGCGAAGAGGAACTCGAGGTGCTTTGCGCACAACTCGACGACCTCCTTGACAAGGGCTGGATTCGCCCTAGTTGTTCGCCTTACGGTGCCCCTGTTCTCTTCGTCCGGAAGAAGAACAAAGATCCACGGTTATGCATCGATTATAGAAAACTTAACGCACAAACCGTAAAGAACGTCGGCCCTCTCCCTCGGATCGATGATCTCCTTGAGCGGTTAGGCGGCGCGACGTACTTCTTGAAGTTGGACTTGAAGTTGGACTTCAAGATCGGAACAAAACCGCATTCAAGACATGGTACGGGCACTTTGAGTGGGTTGTCCTGCCATTTGGCCTCACCAATGCCCCCGCGACTTTCAAAGCAGCTATGACGACTGAGTTTCGCGACTTGCTCGATCGCAGCATCCTCATCTACCTCGATGACATCTTGGTTTATATGGACGAGCACATCGTACACGTTCGCGCTATTTTGGATCGTTTGCGACTGGCCAAGTACAAAGCGAATCTCGACAAGTGCGAATTCGCCAAGCAGGAGCTTGAGTACTTGGGTAACTATGTCACGCCGAAAGGCATTCGTCCCTTAGCGGACAAGATCCAAGCCATCGTGGATTGGCCGGAACCCCGTTGCACGACGGATGTACGCTCTTTCATGGGTTTGGCTGGATATTATCAACGATTCGTCCAGTCATACTCGAAAGTGGCCGCTCCCTTGTCGAGACTTCAGTCCCCAAAGGTGCCCTTCGAGTTCGACGACGCAGCCCGTGGCGCGTTCACTACGTTGAAGGCAGCAATGCAAGCCGCACCTGCCCTCCTTATATACGACCCCACCCTTCCCACCCAAGTGACTACGGACGCTTCGGGATACGGTATTGGTGCGGTGTTGGAATAGTGTCACGTTTTAAATGGAATACGGACAATAATCCGTTGACCTTTTATAAAACGCAGGATACGGTCACTAGCACGATCGGTCGATGGATGTATTACATCGACCAATTCGACTTTGACCCGTGCCACATTCCCGGTCCCGCCAATCGAGCTGCGGAGGTCCTCTCACGACGGCCCGATTTTTGTGCCATTGTGACCACGACATTCGACCTCGATGACAATCTGCAGACGCATTTCGTCAAAGGCTACAAGTCCGATCCGACTTACTCTACGCTTTACGCGGAACTTTTATTGGATCACCCGCTGGCGTAAAGCGCACATTAGCACGCCTCCGCCAGCGTTTTCACTGGCCCGACGTCCTTCACGACGTCACGAGGTACATTGAGTCATGTGCAGTTTGCCACCGTAACAAGGGTCGATCTCGAGTCCCCTTCGGCGAACTGAAACCGTTGCCGATTCCTCGGGCACCGCGCCTCTCCATTGCTATGGACGTGACAGGCCCGTTCCCCCGCGATCGCCTCGGCCATGACGGTATTCTCACGGTCGTTGACCGTTTGAGCAAGTATGCTCGCAAGTATCATGCTGCAGCGCCTGAGCTCGCACGACTCTTGCACACCGGTTGGATTACCAACCAGGGTGTTCCGGAAGACATAGTGAGTGACCGAGATACTCGCTTCATGTCGGGTTTTTGGACCTCCCTTATGGCTGAGTCCGGTACGAGAATGAAGCCGAGCTCGGCTCGGCATCCGCAGACGGATGGCCAGACGGAGCGAGCACACGAGACCGCTCAGATGATGTTGCGTACGCTCATCCGTCCCGACCAGAAAGATTGGATTGACCGACTTCCCGACATCGAGTTCGCATATAACACTTCGGTGCACCCGGTGATCTGCGTCGCGCCATTCGAGTTACATCATGGTGGAGAGAAAGCACGGATCTTCGCTGATCTCCTTCTACCACGGGCTGCCGACATAGACGTCCCTTGCTCTCCCGCTTCCATTCGGAAGTATCGGGACTTGCTGATCAAAGCCCGCGCGAATATGCAAAAGGCTCAAATTCGCATGCAGCAGCAAGCTAACCGACGTCGACTTCCATGTCCTTTCCGCGAGGGAGACCTTGTTTGGGTCCTCTCCGAGGAATTTGCGCTCGAGCAGGACGTTTTGCGCAAACTCCTTCCGAAATGGTTCGGACCATGGGAAATTACTTCTGTCGTTGGAGACGATCCCGCAGGTCCTTCCTTTGTGGTCAACATTCCCAAGCACCTTACAGTGCACCGGGTCTTCCACGCGTCGAAGCTGGCCATCTACACGCCACCTTCCGCTGACGAGTTTCCGGACCAACGATCACAGGATCCGCCTTCTATGGACGGACATCAGGAAGTCGAGCGAGTCATCACGCACCGCAAGTATGGCAACAAGCCAATGCAGTTCAAAGTCACATTCAAGCAATGTGCGCCTCACGACACTCGGTGGATCTCCCAAGCAGACTTGCAGACTTCTGCACCCTTGATCTTCGCCGACTATGAGAAGCGACGACTTGCCAAGGAAGCAGTTTGTCCCGCCCGACCCACCCCGGTATCGGACAGACAACTCCGCCCTCGCGGGTAGCTCGGTCTTTTAAGAGGGGGAGTGTTACATCTTCGACGCCACACGGGTCCTACCGGACCCGACTTAGGGCCAAGGGGACACAGTAGGGCCTAAAGGCCTGGACTTGGGGTACAGCAGGCCGTAAAGGCCACAT